TGCATCAACAGGTGCGTAGCATAGCAGGAGAGGCTGGGGTCAGGCTGATGGGCTGGCTGCAAGGAATGTGAGAGTCACACCAGGGAAACCAAATAGTGTTCCCAGGAAAGCTCTTTTTCTGATTGCATAACAATAAATAGCAAAGGAGGGAAAGATAAGGAAGGGGGCGGGAGTGGGGGGGGGGTAACAGCATCTGAGAGACCAGTTCAGCACGTGTTTCCAAGGACCAGGAGCTGGACAGCCCCGGGCAGTTTCCTTTGCCACCTGCCTTGCAGAGCAGCTGTCCTCTGGCAGCTGATGTTGCCTGCACCAGCAGTGGCACGGAAGTCTGGGAGCTACCCACGTGGCTTGCTTTTGTTCTAGGGTTTGGGGGTCCTAAAAGAGTGAAACATGTGCCACACGAGCTTTGCCTGCTGACCATGGTCCTGGTGCAAAGACTGGACCCTGCACGTGTCCTGGAAGAGCTGCCCTGGCATTCTTGGTCTCCATGTCTCCCCAGGTGTGAATTGGAGCTAGAAGACAGCAGAGCAAGGCAGGGTTCTGGAAGCCCAGGACAGCGGGATGGGGTGGGGTGGAGCGGAAGGTGACACCCAGGGGAGGGAGGCAGGTGGCAGCTGAGGCTGACCTTGCAAGAGGACCCACCCCAGGTGCTGCCTGTGTTGCAAGGAGGCAGCTTATTTGTAGTTCTTCCTTCCTTGTAGAACCTAAATGTTTGCTTATTTAATGAAAAGATTATGGGGGTGGGAGGTTGGCTGTTGCAATTCCATAGCAAAAACCTCATGAAAAAAATTATTTTTCAACCGAGATTTCTGTCTGAGGTTTCCCGTATCCTGTGTGTGCCTGAAACAAATACCCCATTCCTAGACAAATCACAACTGGTGTCTGATGTGTCAGTGACTGCCCTGAGAGTGTCAGGGTCACCTTTTATTGTCACTCATCATCAATGTTCAGTGCCAGGTGGGGAGCGTCCCATCAGAGGACCCTCAGTGGTCACCCTGCCATCTATCCAGTAGGATTTTGTAGAAAATGTGGATCTTGCTTATGCCTAGGATTCAAAGTTCCTTACACATGTGCTGTGGACACCTCCTTCAGGCTATGGAGCAAGGTGAGGCAGGGTGACCCTGCGCCCCTGCTGTCATGCGCAGCCCCTGGCTCCTTGCCCCTCCTCCTCCTTCTCCAGAGCTCCATTACTGACTGTATTCATTGCTCATTATTGTGTTCATTCACAGACTAGGTGACTCAAACAACAGCAGCATCTCCCGTCTGGAGCCTGGGGGGCTGAGAACAAGCTGTCCAGGTGGTCTCTTAGGGGGCCCTTTCTGCGGCTTGTAGGTAGTGCTGTGCTGCCCGTGGGTATCCCTCCCCGTGGGTGTCTGTGTCCTAATCCCCTCTTCTGAAAGGTCATAAGCATCCTGGATGAGGGGCCACCCCAGTAACCTCCCTTTACCTCCGTCAGCTTTTTGAAGAACCTCTGACCAAGTGCAGTCACATTCCATAGTCCTGGGGATTAGGATTGGAGTGTACAACTCAGAGCCAAAGACTCGCCAAACAGATCAGCGGGCTGCCCGGTGGGAGCAGAGCTGAATCCGTGAAGACTGGAAGTCAGTGCAGCCCGTGTGCCGTTGGACACCTGCTAGTCCCCTCCCCAGCACCACTTCCTCCCAGGGATCCCAGCTTCCCTAGTGGCATCTTCACGTCTCCTTGCTGAACCCTGGCCCATTGTGCCTTTGCTGTCTTTCCCAGCCTTGATCACAGACACACCGTCTGTCTTTCTACTTGGGCTTCCCAGAAATGGGGTTGTGGTGATCCTGAAATTCCAGTTCCAATTTCACTTCTTTTTGATTTAGATGTAGATCCCATAAAAAAAATCCTTCCCTCCCTTATGCTGTGAGCTGCTTTGGGCAGGTAGGCAGTGTGAGGACGGGTGCCGGAGGGCCAGGGACTGCTCAGCAGAAGCAGAACCCCTTCCTGAGGAGCCTCGGCTGCCAAGACCCAGCTGGCCCGGAGGTCAGTGCTGGTTACCTCTTCCCGTATCCCCGAAGCCTGAATTTCACCTGCACACAGCTGGCTACCAGGGGTCCCGACCCTCCCCCACCCCCCAATTCATAACACATCTGACATCATATAACACACAGAAGGCGACACTGCCCTGTACCTCATTTGTGAGGGTGTGGCATGTTGGAGAAGGGGTCTTTCAGAGTAGAGGTCTGGACTTTGGAGCAGGAGGACCGAGAACATTCGCACTGGTCAGCATCCCCTACTAGGTCTGGTCTTCCTTTCCCACTGCCCCCAGCGGGAGAGCCTTGTGACGTACAAGGTGGTGGCTCTCACGGCTGGTCCCAGGCAGGCAGCATGAGCCTGGCCTGGCCCTTGTCACAAATGCACATGAGTCCTACCTCTGTTCTGAGTGAGGAGGTGGGGGTGGATCCAGGCTGCATTCTAGGCAAGCCCTGAGCTCACTGGCCTGTGCTGAGCTTTGAGCTGGGCTGCTGTGTTGGGCCCCAGGATACTGGAGTGAGGTGTGACTTCTCTGGGCTTTGCAGGCAGGCCCAGGCTAATGCAGAAGGAGACAGACATCCATGTTACTGTAATCTGGTTAGTGGGCCTAAATTAAATGCCCACATCTCATCGTGTTTCTCAACCCAACTGACGCTGTTAATAACTGCTCCATTTCACGCAGTGATACACTTGTAAGCTGTGGGGTTTTGGGCCTCTGTGAATCATTTGTTCATTCATAATGATGTAGTAGTGGGGACACACGATGGGCCAGGCAGTTTGCTGAGGGTGCACTCCTCTGAGATGCTGCCAGCCTGTGGAACTGGGCAGGGGTAGATGTGAAATCAGAGAAATTTGAGTTTTGAGCTGAAGTTGAAAGTGGCCTTGAACAAGCCAGCTGGGTAAGTCTGTGCACGTAGGCCTGAGGTGAAGAAGCGAGGTGGGCGTGAGGGGCCGAGAGCAGGGCTTCGTGGCAAGCACTCACCTGGCAATGGTGTGGGACAGACAGGTGCAGAAACCCCAAGGCTCCCAGGACAGAATGTGTCTTCCTCATCCTTGGCACACCTTGAGTCCGGGCTGGCTGTGGGGGTGCTCCAGGGGCCTCTTCCTTGTGGGGCCCAGGTTGGAGAAGAGCCGGATTCTGGGTTGCGCCTTTCTCATGGCAGAGGCTAAGAGCCAGGACGGAGCACCATGGTGTCCCCAGAGCTGCTCCAGGGCCACCCTGATGGTGTTGTGTAGTTTGAGGTGCAGGGCGATGGACGGACAGAGAGGGCAGCAGAGTTGGGGTCAGGGCCTGTTCTGTGGGGCCTGGGGAGGGGGAGGTGTGCATGGGGCTGGCAGGGACACAATCAGGCCATCATCAGTGTGGTGACTGCATTGAAGCAGGTGTGAGAGTCTTTAAGGAGGTCAGACGCCTGGATGAGGTGGGACTGGAGCTGGAGAGAGGAGATGGACATGGTTCTTCAACAAGTTCAGGGCAAACATGCAATATTGGGAAAACTATGCCTGGAATAAAGTCCTCTTTTTTGCACCAAAATAAACTTATATATATTTGAAATGACTTACTTATTTGAAAGAGTTAGGGAGGGGAAGAGGAAGAGAGCAATCTTCCATCTGCAGGTTCACTCCTCAATTGACTGCAGTGGCTAGGGTTGGGCTAGGTGGCAACCAGGAGCTCGGAACTCTTTCTGGGTCTCCCATGTGGGTCAGGGGCCCAGGCACTGGGGCCATTCTCTGCTGCTTTCCCAGGTGTATTAACAGGGAGCTGGATCAGAAGCAGAGCAGCTGGGACTTGAACCAGTGCTCTGATGTGGGATGCCCGCGCCATACAAGTGGCATCTTAGCTGTAGTGCTGTAACATTGGTCCTACATTTATCTTTTAATTCAATTTTCCATAAAAATTTTCAAGTAGCCTCATATTTTGAGGGGAAAATGAATGACCTTGGTGATCAATATGAGTTTGGTTTTCAGTGTGTTCAGTTTGCGATTCCTTACAACCATCCTCGTGGCTATATCCAGTGAGTAGTTGGGTACAACATTTTTTTTAAATTTTTTAAATTTTATTTATTTATTTTTATTTATTTGACACATAGAGTCAGACAGTGAGAGAGAGGCAGAGAGAAAGGTCTTCCTTCCGTTGGTTCACCCCCCAAATGGCTGCTATGGCCGGTGCACCATGCTGATCCGATGGCAGGAGCCAGGTACTTATCCTGGTCTCCCATGGGGTGCAGGGCCCAAGCACTTGGGCCATCCTCCACTGCACTCCTGGGCCACAGCAGAGAGCTGGACAGGAAGAGGAGCAACCGGGACTAGAACACGGTGCTGGGTACAACATTAAAAGAAAATTCTTTCCCAGTTTCCTTTGTGATATTACTTGAAAGTTGTGAGAATAGCTTCCTTAGTGGAGATGGCTTCTGTGTTGCCATTTTCTTACTCTTAGACCACACAGGGTATTAAAACACAGCACTGCTCACGGGCAACACATTTTTCCTGTTTGTGTCTCAAGTTATTTAGAAGGGAGAGTGCTCTCTCTACTTCTCATTTCTGGGTACAAGTGTTCCTGCCGGCCCACAAGTGAGAGAACACGCCTCCTTTTCCTTGGTAACACGTCAGGGTGCGAGCCGGGGGAATCAAAGTGTCAAAATCAGCTAGCGGCTCTTTGCGCTGTGCCTGCCCACCTCCCAGATGCAGGCACAGCACTGAGCACCCCCAGCCTTCTGTGGGAAAGCTGGCAAACAGGCAAAGACACGAGCCGCCGAAGCTACACAGGGCTCCTGGACCACTGAGACAGAGCTTAATCCTTTTAGGACCAGCCAACCTTTTCTGAGTGCTGCTTTATCTTATGTAAATCACTGGAGTTCAGGAAAATTCAGTATTTAGAATACAAAGCAGGATGGGTCTGGGATTCCTTTGTGCACTCTGCCCGCGTTCCTAGAGTACGTGCGGTTTCTGAGAACACGCTTGCGATGTTTGAACTTGGATTTGCGACATCCCTCTTTCTCCAGGAAACGCGTTTTGGTCCGCGACCCCAGCTGCGGGACCACGATCACAAACCTCACGGAATGTTGATGTCTCCGCAGCCTTCCGAGAACTTTCGAAGTGCCCGCGGAGAGTGTCGTCGTCACAATCGACGTTCATTTTCCAACCTGAAGGCCATCCAGTAAGCTCTTTCTCAGTTCCTTTCAAAACATATCAGAGCATTAGACTATTTGAAAGTCCATGTGACTCCTAATTGTAAATCCAGTATATCTCGCCCAGGTAGCTCAGGAACCACAAAGTTGTACAATGTTGCACGGACACCTCTTTATTACACGTGAGCCCCAGGCGGGTGGGGCCCTGCTTGTTTTCCTAAAGCTCCTGATTTGGGAGCAAAAAGAAGGTGTCAGGCAGGCTTGTCACCCTGACTGCGTGGCCTAAGCTTGAGTTTGGGGCAAGAGCAGGTGCCCCTGGAGGACCCCCCGCTCCTGCTGAGTGGGGGTGCGGGGTTTCCCAGAGAGCTAATTGAGCTCAGTCTTGGCGAGCTTTGGCTCTGAGGTCATAAGACGCCTGCTGGAATCTTGGTCCCTGTTCACCTGCCGTGTAACCCCGAGCTTGTGATGTAATTTCTAAACCTTAACTTCCTCCTAGAGTGTGCAGGGGAATTAAATGATGTAACGTGGAAAAGCACATAGGTAAGCAATAGCAGTCATCTCCGTAAGGAGGACAGACCGAGTCCTCAATGGGTTTAGTTGGTTAAACACAGGTGGGTGTGAGAAACGGTCACTTGCAAGATTAATCCTCAGTTGCTGTGAGACACAGCTCAGTGTGAGCAGCAGGCTTTCTCCTGTGCATTCTCATGCCTCCGGAAGAGAGATCCAGCAACCGTGCCGCGAGTGCTTTGCCGCGAGCCCTGTGGTTCAATTGGAGCTCTTAGCCAAAGTAGGATTTTACCAACTAAAGGGCCTTGGCATATTCCTTGGCTTCTTGGGCCAGCTTCAGCTGGAGATGAGCTGGAATCTTCCCCACTACGTTCTCCTCCAAAATGTTAAGTTTTCTTCACTTTGTATGCAAGTGTCGGCTCTTGTTGGTGGTATTTCCCTAGATGGCTCATTGCCACGGTGTGTGGGGTCACTCCCGCGTCATCAGGTGGGTAAGGATGGAGCATCTCCCCATGTCTGTACAGAGGAGTGATGGCAGAGAGCGAGCAGATGAGCCAGGGGGCCGGATGTGAGTCCGAGCTCTGCCCTTGTGTCGTGTGGGTGTGAGGCTCAGCCTCCTCCTCGGAGGGCTGAGGGCCAGGGTCACCCTCCACTTGGTCTCTGGGTGTCAGCCAGGAGAATGAAAGTGCCAGGATATTATTCAGCCATAAAAGGAACGAAATTTTGCCATTTGCTGACCCTGAAAAGGAGCCAAACTCAGGCCAAATATTGTGCGGTTCCCTTGATAGGAAGTTCCTGGGACATACAAATTCACGGAGACAGAAACTGGAATTGAAGTCAGCAGGGCTGGGGGGTGGGGCGGGGGCGGGAAGACTCACTGCTTCCTGGGTGCAGAGTTTCAGTTTGGGAGATGATGCTGGCAATGGTTGAAAACAATGCACATGTACCTGAGAATGGCTAAAAATGGTAAATATGCTGCCTTACCACAATAAAAAATTCCAAAAAACAAAGAATGAAAATGCAAACAAGGGAAGGTATGGTACAAACTCACGTTATAACGAGAAGTGTCCGTCATCATTTTTGCCAGGTAAGGGGAATGCAGAGAGGAAATTGGGGCTAATTGGCTGTCTGGTGGTGCCTGGGTCTGGTGTGGCAGGGCGCTGAGGCAGGACACAGGACCTGGGGCGGGGGCCCCTGGCTGAATCTGGGCCATCTCCCACTCATTGGTGGTGACACGGTGATCTCGCTGACCCCTCTTTCTTCCTCTCTGAAGTGAGGAGTTATTCCAGATGGCCCTCAGCGCCCTTCCCCCACCCCAGGGCACCACCACTCTCAAATTTCCTGTTTCTTCTTTGGATCCAATCCCATTCCCTTAAATGCCGTCCTCTCTTACTTTCACCATCACGTGGGGGAAGATCATGTTTGCTTACTAACTTGAGTTTTTTAAAACCAAAAAACCCCACCTAGGTGTCCACCGATTCTGAAACTCACCTCTTCCGACCCTCAAACACCCAAGGAGCACCAGGTGCGGCCTGCTCCGTCACCCGCCCTGGAGGGGGCAGGCTGTGCTGCTCTGCGGCGCCCTCTGGTGGCCTCTGCTCGACACAGTCGCCATCCGCCCAGGGTTTCCCCAGCTTTGTGCCTTGGGCTGGGCGAGGTGATTTATTCTGACACATGGGTGTCTGGGGTGTCGGGTACAGACATGGAAAATGGTGTCTCCCCTATCTGGAAGTCTGTCTCTTAGTGGCCAGTGTGGAAGATACGGAAAAAAAGGTCTGTTCGTGTCTGTTTCTGTTGTGTGCCATCGTACCCGAGGGTGAAATCAGGGAGAAGAGGTGAGTGACTGAAAGAAGTGGGCTGGCTCCCTTGGCAGGAATCCACTCATTAGCAATATACCTATTTTACAAAGGGAGATTAGATAAATTAGAGATTAAAGAAAGTGGAACAGATGTTTTTCCTCTGATAAGCATCATTCTGTAAAAAAACTCCAGAGAGAAATGGTGCAGCAAACACGAGATGAGCCTGCAGAGGCACTCCGGGCGGGTGGGAGGGAGAGCTGGCCGCCTGGCACAGGCGCCTGACGCCGGCAGATGGACGTAATCTTTTCCCCTTCCCTAACAGCCGTGGGCTGGCCCTTGCTGTGCCCATTTTACAGGTGAGGAAGGTGGCCGAGGCTCCCAGGGGCCTGATGCATTCAGTAGCTTGGGGTAGATCTGGGGGCCTCAAGCACCAGAGATTGCAGTGTAATTGGGCTTGGTGGGGCCCCGGTCACCCTAAGGCGCTGGCCGGCTGCTGATCGACAAGAACCAAAAGCCCCATGGGAGCTGGTCTGTCTCCTCTCAGACCCCTGCTGGGAGCCGTTGCCCACCGCCTGGCTGTTTCTGGACTCAGCCTGCTCTGTGGGGGTGGGGAGGGCGTCGAAGGCCCCATCTGTCCCCACCCAGAGGGGGCCTGGCTGCGTGATGGGCTCTGCAGTGGACCCGTCGTGCCGTGTGGGCCGTGTGCCTTGACCAGAAGTTGGCCCCAGGCTCTAGACGGAGGGCTAAGCGAACACTACCTGGTCTGCCTCTGAAATGTGCTGGGTCCGGAGCAACTCTGTCTCTGCTGTGCCTGCAGGGGGGAGGCTGGGAGGGCCGGGCCGGGGTGCTGCCGAGGGCACTGAAGCCAGTCTGCCCCAGGTGACAGGGAGCAACCGGCCGTCACTGGGCTAGAAACAAGTTGGGACTGACACACATCTGTCTCTGTTTCACGCATCTTTCAATGCCACTGTGCGAATTCTGCTGCGTCTATGCGGGCTTCCCCGAGGGTCAGGCTCTGGCTCAGCCACGCTCTCCCCTGCTACTTCCCCTGTGTTGTCACCCTGCGGGACCCATGGCCTGAGGGGAGGCCTGGCCTGATGGGCAGTCAGTAGCTAGTTAGTGTTTGACAGGCCCTGGGACAGAACCAGAAGATGATGTAGGTCTGGGGAAACTGAGGCCCAGAGGCAGTGACTCGGTCAGCCTCTGGAGCTGTGGCTTCTACCTCTGTGCATCCAACAGAGCAATGCAAACATGGCGGAGAAAATGCACGTACACCGACCATTTCCGACCCCTCCCCTTTATTCTGTAAACAACGAAGTAAAGCAACTGCTTACACAGCTTCTCCGTTGCACTAGGTAAGAACAGCGCTCTAGAGATGATGCAAAGTATACAGAAGAATGCGTGCCAGTTCCGTGGGAAGACTGCCATTTCCTGCGAGGGACCTGGGCACCTGTGGGTGATGGTATCCCCAACATCCTGGACACCCCCCTGCCCGGGCATTGCGAGGGATGGCTGTATCTGGAAGGGGAGGGTTTGTTTTCCCTGTCTTGATTCCTTCCTTAGCCAGGAGGCTCTCTTCCAACCCTGACACTCCTGAGCCAGGGTCTTGCCTACCTAAAGCTCTCCCTGGCCTGCTTTCTCCTGTCCCCAGATTTTTGATGCAGTGAAGTGGCCTTCCATGCAGGTGCCTTTCTTACATCTGTCTTCTCAGGCCCTTCCTCCCAGGTGGGAGGGCAGATCTGTTTCTATAACAAAAGTTTTATACTGGTGTCTATGTAGAGGGCAAACTGCCACAGGAGAGAGCTGTTGTTAATAACAACATGGGTATTTCTTCAGTGGTGTGTTCGCCAGTTCTTTTTCTTAAAAGCCACAAATGCTTGTTGAGTATCTGCTGTGGACCAGGCAGTCCGATGAGGTACAGGGAACTTAGGGCACAAAGAGATTTACAAAGTTCTCTGGCAGGAAAAGGGCATGGCCGTGGAAGCACTAAGGGCAGGCACACACTCAGGGATGGGGGTGCCACCCAAAGTGTCCCGGAGACCAGGGGCAGCCCAAGATCTGCAGAAAACAGCGGCGGTTGCAGATGAAGAGAGGAGGCAGCGGGTTGCAGTCCTAGGGCTGAGCCTGGGGCCATCAGTGTGGGGGTCAGCGGGGTGGGCCAGAGAGACGTTAGCTCCCGCCTCCCGGGACCGCTGGAGCTGCCCACAGGGTTAGCGTAGGGCAGGAAGCCACACGAACAAGGCTTTACCAGCACTGAACTTCAGAAGGGGACGCTTCAGGCACGTCCCAGGGAAGAGCGAGCAGATGAGGACTTGAACCTCTATGTAGCCATCACCCAGCTTCAGTGGGGGTCAACTCATGGCCAGCTTTGTTCCGTCTCCTCTCCCACTTCCTGCTCCTGATCCCTGCCCTTGATTTCCAAAGGGGTTATGTTCTGGTAATAGGAGTGGAATTAAAAGGTATACTTGTTTTAGTGTGAAAAAGTTAAAATATGTGCAAACTAGGGGTCTTCAGAAAGGTCATGGAAAATACATATTATGAACAAACTATGCATGGACTTTAATGTATTTTTGCATCAAATAATGCTACATTGTAATCATGTTTTTCTGTGAGCTTTTTGGAGTACCCTTGTATCATAAGTTGAAAATGCATTTAAGATACAACCTACTGGGGTCGTGGTGCAGTAGGTTAATCTTCCACCTGCAGTGCTGGCATCCCATATA